AATGGCATGAAGTGGATATTTTACAACCTGGAAAAGAGAAAGAGACATTTTATTTATGAGGAATCTTGTACCTGGTAAATCACAGATATTCTTAGCTGAAACAGTAGCAGTAAGTTGTCTAACCTCAGTTGACAGGAAAAGATTTTCATTTCAGAAGAATGTTGCCAATAAAATGAGATTACTTTGTCTGAGATTATTAGCTCTGTTTTGATTAATTCAGTCAGATGAAGCTCAGAGGCTATTCTGATTTTGGCAAAGAAGAGATTTCATTACCTTTGACACATATAATTAAATGGCTTCCTAGTCAAATATTCTGCTCTGCTAGCTTTGTACCGAAGATGAACTGCATGGCAGCAGTCCTGTACTATCTGAAGTCATTACTTGAGCTGTGAGTGCTATAGCTTAAAGCACTTAATCCTGCCACGGTTCTGCAAGGATTATGTTATACATTCTGCATCATTATATGCACTTACAGCAAGTCTTTACAGCTGTGGTTTACTTAAATAAAATCCTTCCCAAGTCCCTATGGAGGCAGCTGTCAAAAATCTCTGTATTTTCTGAATAGCAGAAGTACCTTTCCCTGAATATGTAGTAATTTAATTATAGTTATTATTTTAACCCTGTAACAGTACAGGACCTTAAAATTATTGTGTTATTTGCCTATATAGGAACATGACAACAGTGGAACTGCTGGATCAAATCCTCCACCAGCCACGCTGCACAGGATAAAGATAATAAATAATGACAATAAGAATACTAATAAAAGACATTCTAGGAGATAGGACTTTTTCAGACAGATAAATATTCAAATACTATCATCCATAAACTAGACACTGTGAATAACACTTCTTTCCTCAGAAAAAGACAGACAGTTTTTACATTTCCCTAGAACTTATGCTTTTGTATATTAAATACTCCAAGGGAGAGGTCCAGACTGCTCTATAGGGAAGATCTGTGCACAGTGAGGAACGGGGGAGGGATCCCTGTTCATCCTTCAAAACGCGTTGCTTTCAGAACAATTAGCTTTTCAAAATGCTAGCCAAAGATACTGTTCTTTTCCCCATCATATGATAATGCAGATCAATGACAATAAAATCTCTGATGGCAGCAGGCAGAAATTCCCTACTTTGCTTGAAATTTACACCAGCATTGAACATATGCATCTTAAATCTTCCCTTCTCCTTTCACTGCCCAAAGAAATGTCTCTATATGAAAACCATTGACAGCAAGTTCCACCCTTCTTGAATTCCTTCATAATAAAACCTTTTTACACCTCAAGACATGGATAACTTTCCCCACTTCTTATTTAATCCCCACTTACTCTTCTAATTTAAATAGGAATGGGCAAGAAGTATATAATAGCATCTGCAATAAAGATTTGGCAGTTATTATAGAAACACTAAAACCTCACTGATATGTAACCAAGATAGGCTGCCCCTTTCCGAGGAAGGACATTATCCTTTTCTCTCAAATATATCCCTCCTACATGCAAAAAAAGTGAATTGCAACACAGAGCTCCCAGCTGGAGCTTGTCACTGAGCTGGCAAACCCCACATCTGACTCTTTCACTCTACTCAGATTTAAAGAAAGGTATAACTCTCCTCACGTGATTCTTATGAGAAAGTGAAGAGCTCTCAAAAACATTTTGCCCTCTTTCTCTCACTCTCAGACTTATATCTTTACTCAGTCATCTTTACTCTAAGTTTCTTTAAAGGGTAATTATATCATGTTTCAGATTGTGGGAGATCCTTTTACCTATGGAAACATACATAAATTAATATATAGATATTTTATATACAATATATATAAATGAGGCCCAAAATAAATTATATCATTTTTTTTCTAGTGACATACAGAAGCTAAATATCAGTTGTGCAAGTCAAGTGCAAGTCACCCGTTTTATCCTAAATGCATGAGTTAAGATCCCTTCAACACAACATGTTAAATATTGGCTTTTTACCTTCAGTCGCAAAGGTAGCTCCTCAGGAGCCTTCCCTGCCAATTCATCGTCTTCCTCCTCCTGCATAATCAGGTTAGATGGGATGATTCCCTTTGCATACTTCTTGGTAATTTCAACAAAGTCATCCAAAGCAATGTATTTTTTAGCTAAAAGGAAATGCAGACTCTGAGTAAATAGTCTGAATCAGTACCACACTGTATGGATGAGTTGGAATATTAATTATTTTTTCTTGGAGTTAAACAAGTTTTACTCTGAGCTTCAGAAACTGAACTTCTGGTCATGCAGGTCTACCCTGCACCTTTCCCAGACATTGGTGCTGAAAACAAGCTGCTTGTGCTGGCAACACAGCTACTCAAAATCTTGTTAGATTAGTAGGAAACTGTATCACATTCACAAGCAGGAAAACAAAACAAGTAAATGTAGTTTATCTGTAAATATTCCTGGGAAAAGAGACTACTAGATTAGCTTACACAGTTTTCAGTAACAAACTATTACACTTAAAGACGCCTCTAAAAAAAATTACCCAGTAGCAGATCTTGAAAAGAAAGAACTGTGCAGGAAAAGTAATGAATTATCTACAGTGAGAAATTGACTTCTGACTTAACAAGCCGAACAGTCATTTTTGTAAGTTCATAAGCAGCAGATGAATTATAATTACAGGAAATGCCCAATTATTCATGCCTACAAGACTAAATATAATTATCACTCATGTATTAATTTTATGTGCTATATGGCTATACAATAAGTTTCTTCTGAATACAAGAACTATGATTTAAAGTAGTCAGCCTCAAAATACACTTTGCTCGGTTGTACACAGCAACAAAATTTATCATTCTGCCTATTTGAAAAGTCTCCAAATAGGAAGCACACAACTCAGTTACTGGTATAAAATACCTCTGCCATTGATATTTTGTCACCAACTTGATAATACATATGAAGTACAACTTACGTATGAAGTATGGCAAATGACACAGAAGATAATGGAGAAGAAAAGTTTTGGCAAAGGGCCCACAGACAAATCCCTCTGACTTCAGAAGCTTCAGACCAGAGTTGTTTAAAACCAAATGAGGTGCTGTCCTCAGAAGCTCGAGGGGATTTCAGATAGGAATCTCAATCAGAACTGTCAGTTTCAACCACTGATTTTTAACATCGTGCCTTTGCCACTCCCTGAATCTACCTGGGAAGTCCAAGGAGCAGGGCACTCCACCAGGTGATAACCCGGAATGCCAGGACATGGGCAGATGGCCAATGGCCCTGGAAGATCCCAACCTGCTTTTATGAAGAGGGAGGCACTGCCTCCAAAGCCTCCTGTTGCGAGACAGGAGACGATCCATCTGCTGCTTCCAGCTTTCTTCCACAGCCACCTCCTTGCATTAGCACGGATACTTAGTTTCTATGTTGGATAAGTTTGATGCCGTTTGTAAAGGAGGATAATTAACCGCAATTTTTTCCATACACTAAAGCAACTGACATTGCTGCAGATATGAAAGACTTTTGAATGACAAAAATCTGTAACACACCTCCTACACAGTAAGGTTTGCTAGTCAGCTGACACAAGGAGATGAAAGCCGGCTTGCCTAATACTAGTTTAAGCTTTTAAAGAGACAGAAAAATTGTACTGTTTAATTAAGTTTAAAGTCACTGGATTACTGGGTTTGAGCCTATAATTTTAAGCTTATAAAAACACTACATCTATATAAGTTACATATAAGTATATTAGAAATTTTGCCTTATTATTAAAAACTCCATAGAAACAGTAAGTAGTAAAGTACACATGTCAGGATACCTACTAGAGGAAAAGGCATGTTGAAGGGGTTAAACTGAAAGAGGAGTGTACAAAATATATTTTACTTAACTCTTATGACTTGGATATTGACTTCTGCTTGAATCTTTAAATTTATATTTCCTTTTCCATTGCATTGCATGTACCCGTATGTCACACAAAACGCCATCTGGCATTTCTCCCAAGTGACAAGAAATGATTTAACCTTTTGGTAACTATTCTTATCATTCACAGACTGTGAGGCCACACTGTAAGGCACTCAGAAACCAGAGAATCCTTCACTGTGCTTGGTGGGGGTTCAGATCAGGCCTAATACTGAATGTGCCATCTAAATCAACTGCCCTACTTGCACAAAAACACAGCAGCAAGATAGTTTTTTGCTGTGGAATCAGCAAAGAGATAGGATTTCAACATGACAGCAATACTTTTATGGGACCATGGGATGTTTTGAGAAGGAAAGAGTTAACAGCTTAGTATGTGCAGATGGCCTGTCGGAGGCGATGACATCCACACTCTCAAGCAACTGCCCATTGACAATGTCACCTCTAATCCTATTTGTGCCTCCATTAAATATACCCCAGATCAGACATTTGAAAATAAGTACCTAGCTTATAAATTACCTTCCAAGTATCGGTAATGTTTTTAAGCTGTGGAATCTCTCCCACTGACAAGATAAATGGAAAAACTCATTGGATCAAAGTAGTAAATGCTGGATAGTAACAGCTAGTCTGTTCCTCCACGAGCAGACAAAAGCTCCCTAGAGAAGAGGGAACAGCTTAACTCCTACTTTAAGTGTTTGATGCAAACTTTTCGTTTTTAAATGTTATTAGTATTTTGTCACCCAAGTGTCTCTTAAATTGATATAAAAAAGTATATATTGTGGATTTTACTTTATTATTCATAGATTTTTTTTCTTCAATTTGGTTATGACAAATTCCCCTGCCTCCCCCATCCACCGTAGAAAATATGCACATCAATTTCTGCCTACGCTTACATGTAGGTTCTTTTACTCTCCTGTTATTTCATCTGCCATTTAAGCCTCAAAGAAAAAAAAAAATATTAGCTCCTTTACTGACACTCTGAATTACTGAAGACTCCAGAACAAAATGTCTTGCTTTGCACTCTTGTTCCATCAGCATGTGCCAATTCAGCTAAGGGATGGAAAGAACTCCAGCGTCATCCACTAAGTGCCAAAGCAACTTAGCCCCAGTGAACTCAGTCACCTCTGCGTTAGGAGAGTGCTAAGACAAAAACACAACAATCTGATCTTACCCTTGCGGGACCACTTCTAGCTTTCCAGAAGTGGCAAGTGAGTGACTAAAACAACTGATCTACAACCACAGAAATTCCAGCAGGACCAGGAGCTTCATCTCCAAAACACACTTCTCCTTTTGTCCACACATGCATGCCTTTTCTATGGCTAGGAAAGTTAAGATAAAGCTGAAATACCCTAATCCACTTAGGAATGTTACTTTTCCATAGAAAGTGGCACAACTTCATTCAGAAGTTACCTGTCTAACAAATATGATCCTTGAAGCAAACTGATCTGAGGAAATGTAAGTCTAATGTTTCAAGCAGTTTAGAACTGTTTACAGGTTTAAATTTAGGTTAGAAAACCATGTATGACAATTTAGCTATCTGCACTCTAAACTGCAGATGTAATGTGCTTCAGGACACTTAAAAATGCTTTTCAAGAACTGGGCTGGATTTCAGCTGAATTACCGCATTTTAAGAAAATAAGATTTTTATCATAAGTGATAAAATGAACCTTATGTTAGATAATGTTCTTGAAAAAGTACATACACTGCATCTTTTGTAATTCACTCTCTTCAAGCGTCTGTGTTTTCCAATTTTCATTTTTTCATTTATAAAAGGAGTCAACACTTGCAGTCTGAGCATCTTGGCATGCTATTAGTACAGAATTTCATAGCAAGACAGAGCAAAACTCTAGTCCTGTTTGACATTACTGCTCTAGAAGATGACATTTAACAGCAGTCATATGGCTTCTGGATGAAATCCTTAAAAACAAAACTGAACTCCTTTATAAGTGTGCTTGGCTTTTCATTTTCAGTGAGCACGATTTTTATTACCCACTTGAAACATTAATGATTCAGGCCTCGATATTCTGATGAGAAGATGAATACTTGCTTAATACTTTGGGCAAAATAGAGATAAGACAGTCGTTCCTATTTTTCAAATCAAAATGGAATTTTCACCTCGTTCATATTCATATGCGCTTCTTGGGTTTGACACTGCCTGCTAAACAAGACAATAATCCCCAATTTAAGAACCAGTTGTGGGCCCAGCCACTCCCCCCAATCTTTTAGACTATTCATGGTTGCGATCACAGCTTCAAGCTTGTTCATTTTGTTTTCTGTGCTGCTATCACAAAGAGCAGGATTCTCATCTGCATTCTCACTCACAGGCGATACCACTCACATCTACAGGATCCTTCCCCTTTCCCCAAATGCAAAGGAGGCTGCACAAATCAAATGCAGAAACAATAATAATGATGTGGCCCAGCTGCATGGCAGCCTCTTAGACATGCAGCGCTGCAGAGAACTTTGTTCCAACTCCAGCAAAACTGTGTCTCATTAAACTCCCTACTGATGTGAGTCTAGGAATCTAAGCCTGTGTATGTTGAGTGGGTTAGCTCTTCTCCCTACAAGAACTGAGCTGTCCCTGCATCCCACCTCTGTCCAAGTGATGGAAAGGGAATCTCAGTATATCTTTCCTGTGTTAGTTCTTGGGCAAATATGAAAAGACAAATATTAATTGCAAACAGAATTGATAATTGCAAATAGAAGCAAGGCAAACTGAATGAGGGGCCTGTTTATTTTAAAAGGTTGCAGAAGTGATTACCTTCCTGGAATCAGAAAGCTTACTAAAATTACTTACTAAAACTTACTGCAAGTGCAAAATAAGTTTTGCTTTGTGAGTTTGGGTAAAGGAAGAAAATAAGTATGGCCAATGACATGCAAGCTCGTCTTTGCATACTAATCACTGACATGTTGAATGTGATGTTTATGTACTCTACAGCTTAATATGTAGGTCAACTATTTACCTTGTTCATATAAATTGACACAACCCATTTTTGGCCCATAAACTTGCTCTACATCTTTACTCTGGCAGCACAGACTTGCTCAGCAGAACAAAACAGAAAAGCCAAAGCAGTATCAGGGATTGAGAGCAGCAGCACACACTTACATTCACAGCTCACCAGTCGCTCCAGCATTCTTCTCTGCTTCTGAACTGACTTTGGGACTGGGCCAGGCTGCTTCTCACCATCTGGTTCAATAACAGACATTTATGGAGAGTTAAAGTAGTCAATTAAAGTAATCAAATAATAATTGGAATGCTAGTTAAGCTGCAATATCTTGAGAATGGTATTTCCTCAAACTTAGGAAGAGACAAACATATGCATAAGCAGGTTAGAAGTAGACAGATTTTTTTAGAGTTTTCTTGCTATACTAGAAAAGAGAATAGCATTTATATAGCTCACATATATTGCTCTAATGGCAGAACAAGCCAGGTGTCTTGAAGACTGAGTTTCCAAACTGAAATATCTAGAAAAGTTATTAGGATAATTATTAAGGGGAGAAAAGGTCAAAGATACAAAATGACCTTTTATGGCTTTGCAAGGATATCAAGTGTTGAATGAAGATACTTTTTATATTCGGTTACTTGTGTTAGTGCTTAACTGAATCACAACCTACAGCAAGAATCGGAAGGCCTTAAGAAGTACGCTGTGTTAGAGAACATAATATTTTGAATGGAGTTAAAGTCATTAAGAGTCACTTTTTCTTAATTAGATCATACATTTACTTTCATCACATGCTAGCTTATTTATAAAGAACTTCAGGATTCTAACTGCATTCTACCTCAAGCTATATGTAACCGATACCATTAGACTGGAATACAAACCTTCATTGTCAACTTGCCCAACATTTTCCAGTAGTTCAGAAACTGCTAATTGCTTCTTCTTCTTTGGGTTTAATTTCCAGTACATGACTAAGGCAGCTTTTCTCACAGCTCTCTCCAAGTCAGTCTCAGATGATAACTTTTTCACTTCCTGCTCATTCTCAGAAGTGATGCCTCAAGAAAAGAAAATATATTAGACACTATTAACCCACACCCAGGCACAAATGAAAGACTTGCCCATAATTTATTCTTCTCACTTTAACCTGAACCTTTAAGTTTCATTCAAGGACCTAAGCAAATTACTGAAATGCCCTTCTGTCCACAGCTTATCAAAACGAAGTTATGTTGATTAAATTGTAATTCCAACACTGTGCAAGATATGCACATCCTTATGTCTTTTTCACCCTTTGAAGCACAACAGTTCACACAAAAGGCAGTACAGACATGTATGAGTGATATATAAAAAGTAGAAAGCATTTTCTGAAGGATTTTTTGGTATTATTTTTTGAGAAGGGTTCAGATACTTGGCAGACAGGAGGAGAATATTCCAAGCGTGGGAAGCAACGCGATGGAAGGTGTGAATCTTTAAATGGGAAAAGACAGTGCAGAAGACCAATTAGGGAGAGGCTGGAGAGGGACAAAAGAATGAAAAAACAGCAGATACGTAGGTGGTGTGTGGTAATGTATGATGTTAATGGTCAAAACATGGAAATTACAATGAAAGGTGGAAAAGACAGGGATGAACATTAATTCCAAGAAGAAACTGAAGTGATTAATGTTTTTTCTGAGCAGTACCACTAGAATAATCCTTTTTAAAGGATCCTTTTAAAATTACTCATGTAATTTTGCCACGAACATTCCTACTGAATTTTAACCTCTCTTTTCAATGTTAGAATGGATAGTGTTATTTCAAATTAAGCAGAAGCAAAATGTGTCTGACAGATCCCATACCTCTTCTGTCTGCCAAGCATCTCCGCAACAGTTTGACAGCCTCTCTTCGACCTTGCTTAGCAGCAAGGATGAGCCAATCGACTGCGCTACAATTGTTAAATTCTTCATCTTCCTCTTCTGCTAATCTTAAGAAGTGTTTTCCAACCTAGAATAAGCAGCAAACAGAATTCCTTCAATTACTGAAATGGATTCTAGCTGCCTTAGTCTCTCTCCCTCCCACTCCCTCCCTCTGCTAGAATAAATTCCCTCGGACAAAAGGTCAAAATATTTGTTCCCAGCACCAAGGAAAATGAGCTGCAAGCTGATCCTCTTGCCACCGTTCTGCAGACAAGGATCAGCTTCCAGAACTGAAGGCAAGAGGGAATTGCAGCATATTTAACCAGATCAGTTAGACCAGCGAATTAGTTGTGTTTTAATGCATTAGTAGTTGTGTTAAATGCATTTTTAAAAGTAAACCTAGTCATACTATCTGACTAGTGTTATGGGAGAAAAGAATCCAAGGTAAGCTATTTTCTGTAATGTTTTCCTGATAGGTAAGGTATCCTTACCCAAAAGCATGTGCCCCAAAACTGCATGCAATAACCTGGTGCCAGTGACGTTCAGAAATTCAGATGGAACATGCGATTGGTAAAGGACCCTGACATGGACGAAAGCTTCAGGCAGCTACATGATTTACTCATAACACTCTGCTTTGACCTACATTAGCTAAACTCATGATTAATTAGCGAATTGAACAAAACTGATACTACTTAAGCAATCTAAGTGGCGCAGCCTGTAAGAATCCTTCTATTTAAGGTTATAGATATTATGGTGCAATTAGCTATAGCACTGTTTCATTAAAAAAAGTTATCTTTATTCTTCCTCCTATGAAATTGAAATATATGGTAAATATACTAATGCAATAGCATGAAGCACATCTGCTTGAAGTACTCCTGAACACGAAATATCAAATGGCAGAGAGCAGGCAAAACTACTGCATAGATGAGTTTGTCTCTCTGGAGAATCTGGGCAGTGCTTTGGCTTTCCAGGTGCTTTCCCTCTCTCTGTCCTGTTGCTTCACTTACGTTTGAGGGGTGACTAACGCAACCCCTTAGAGCTTCACAACTCCACTGTGTGCTTCAAAAGCCCTAGCTGCCAGCGTCTCTAAAACTTTGCTTATGCTACCACCAATAAAGGTGGCTAAAGCAATACTTCTGGAAGATCAAATATTGACAGTTCTTACCTGCAAACCAAATATTCTGATCTCAAAAGGATCTTTTACTTCCAGCAAAAGTTACATCTGCAGCCTTTCAAATGAATCCATACACCTAACATAGATGATTCAACAACTTCTGCATACATAGTTACTGGGTAGACATCAACAGGCATGTGTACTTAGAACATGTACTTACATGTACTTAGAACAACGTACTTAGAACATGTAGTAAAACTATTCAAAACATACAGAAATAAAAATAAAATTCAAACTATGTAAACCACAAGACAGAAATATACAACCACAGAATTGTTGCAGGCTTCAATAACGTTGAATCACACACTGATAAAGTGGCAGATAACAGAGTAGATAAGGGAAAAAAAAATCAGCCTTGATACTTCTAGTGGCAGATAACAAAGAGAGTAGATAAGGGGAAAAAAAAATCAGCCTTGATACTTCAGTTTCTCAGTGTTTGTTAGTCAACTGCAACCTTAAGATACTTATTTAAGCAAGGACTTGCTTGAAGCAGTTAAACAGCAAATAACATCCTCTGACAAGTACAGCAGCTTCTTCAGCATGTTTATATTTATAGCCATTGAAAATTTGAGCAAAGCTTAAAGTAGTAATATTGAATGATGCAGCTCTTCCAAGTTTACAAAAATAGTGTGACCTCTTGGTCACATTCATACTGCAATATAAACCAGCAGATTCTGGAATTGGCCCTATTGCAGAAGGCTACTAGATAAGGAAAAAACCCTCCAAACATGTCAGCTTTTCATGAAACACTGCTGAGAAGTCTATGAGCTCTGAACGAGCACCGTGCAACAGCAACCTGCACTGTCAGAGCAAGTCTCCTACAAGGATCAGCCAAACCAGAGATGGCTGCAGAGCTCCAGCACACAGTGACCAAGTGGGGATCTATCTGTGACACAATGAAGACTATTATTCTCAGATATCCTTAAGGATAAATGAGAGACTTCTTTTTGGACTCCAGCGAGTTCATTTCCAAGTTTTAACTCGTACGTGATGCTGACTTTAGATCTGCACATTGTGCTTGGCAAAGGTTGTTCCCTCCCGCTCACCTTGGGCTCTGCTAAGTGAGGCAGTTCTCTCAAGCAGTCCCCTTGCAGAGATGCTCTGGTTAACGACACGGAGCTGCCTTTTCTCCATTATAGATTTCCAGCTGTGGGTGTCTCATTTACATAATTGCTGTGCAGATATTTCTCAATAAAGAAACTATACAAAGCTACCGTAATACAGGTTGACAGCCACTCAGAGAGCATTTACTTCCATAGTCATTGCAAGGTTATTTCTGAATAACCTCCTAGTAATAACTGCAAGCCACTGAACTGAATGATTTCTTGTGTTTGATTTTATAATTTTTAACAAACTATGCAACAAGGCCATCCCAACTTCTCATTCTTACTCTCACAGAGGGTAAGAAATCAAACTATATGTTTTCTGACTGGATTCTAAAGGGAAGGATCCAACAATAGAAAAAGATTTTTAAAGCTTTTTTTATTAAAAAAAAAAACTAAAGACAATTTTGGCCATTAAAAATTCGATTTCCTAAAACCAAATTGTATTGAGTTCCTTGTTCCTTTTCATGCGGTCTTTGTCCTGAATGAATGCTGAAGCAAAATTGTACGTTGGATCTTGTGGGAACAAGAATCCTGTCATTGTGTGGGAATGGAAAGTGTACACTGTAAAAGACCAAACAGGAAGTAAGGGGGGAATTAATTGAGGATAAAGATAAAAAATAATCATTTTTATACATGCGGACACATAAGTAATAGGCTTAGGTTACATGAAGTATTTCTTACAGGACTGGAACATTTACCCTGAAAGGATTTTTGTGGTTTTTGCTGTGTTTTGTGGAGGTAAAGGGCAAAAATGTGGATCATCTGGTAGCAGTTCCCTCAAGGCCAAAGCTTCATTCTCCCCAAAGCTGCTGGCTGTTTCAGATGTGAGGAATTTACTACTGCCCCTCAAGCAGTATGAGGCATAATACACGGTGAACCTGGCACTGCTGTATTTTTACCAGCTTTAAAAGGGTTTCTCCCCCCAACACACCATTAATGTTTGTCTGAAAGTGGTGGTCTCTGGACATAAAAAAACCCCAACTAACAAAAAAAGCAGGAGACAACAACCACTTCTTTCTACTGGCAAAGCTGGAACAGGATGTTTAAGTGATTCACTAACCAAAGAAAAAGGGAATTAAAACTCCTTTAAACAATTTTAAGGTCTTAGTACAGATTTTGTTAAACCCACATACCAGCCTAGCGAGCTGGATGAGGAAAGAGTTACAATTTTTCCAAAATAGAAGGGAAACCTAAACACGCACAGGACTGGAACGGTCATTGCGACTTCAAACACATGTGCCCAACTAGCAGTAAGTTTCAATGAAGCACACTTCAAACACATGTGCCCAGACACAGCCAACTAGCAGTAAGTTTCAATGAAGCAGAAGCAGCTTCATGTGCAAAACATGTTAATTTAATACAAACAGTATAACAGTAAAACATCAATCCTCTCCATCTTCATTATCTCTGCTAACGCACTTCATAATTGTATTTTTTCTTCCAGAGAGGCAAACTTAAGAACCTCGATACCTTTGTAAGCAGTGGAGCACTGAACCAAGCACTGGTTCATCTTTCATTTAGATCAGCAGTTAATTTTGTTCCAAAGGGAAAATTAAACCTGAGCAGTGTTCAGTGGTCACTGTACACACCTTCCCAAATGCAATGGTCTTTGATGCATCATTAGGAAAGCAAAGCACCCTGCCTTATCTATGCTCTCACCTCAATCACTTTATTTATTTTTACCTAAGTTATGATCAAAAACATATGGTTCAAATAAGCACCTTTGAAAGAGATAACAATCCTACTGGAAGCAGGAAAGACTTTTTTTTTTTTTTTTTTTTTTAATTAGGAGTAAAATAAAACCAACACAGACCTCAGTTTGTGCTTTTGGTTCCCCAGCTTTGGCCCTCTCAAGCAGTTCCTCAAAGAGCACTTCAGGTTCTTCCTTCATGGCTTCTAAAAAGTAATTTTGATAGAGAAAATTGTTTACTCGCAACACTTAAAATTATTTTATAAATAGGTGAAATTTACAGATTTTGGCTGAAAAAATAAAGGACATATAAAAAGGCTGTATATAAAACATACAACATGAGTGTTTTTATTAGAACTGCTACGCACTAATTAATTGTAATATTTAGACTCAACCTTAATTTCCTATTTCAGTGTATTTCCTGCTACTTTTTACTTAGCACTTGCCATAGGACGTTATACACAGTTAGCATTTTCTCATTTATTTCCACAGGATGAATTTCTCAGTAGAAAAAAAATCATTACAGTAAATATGAACACCCAGAGAACATGTGGGATCGTTCAATTGTGGTACTATTATTATCCTTATTCCTGGTAGGACCTCAAAAAGAGCACCTAATCCTTCCAGCAAGGAGCCTGTTTATTCACTGATGGAGCCTTTGAATAGAGAGTTTTGAATAACGAAAAAATCATTAAAACACTGACAGATAAGGCTCTCTAATTTCTGAAGTACACAGAAGTTAAATATGATTATACCTTTATAAAGCTCATATCTTGTATCCAGCTCAATGCTTCATTTTCTGCCCTTTTTATCTGCTCTTATACACACATAGATCTAAGCAATTTTATACCTCATAAGCATCACATTGCTCTCCTGGCCAGTCATAAAGAAAGGGTTTCAGACCTTTATTTGATAACCAGTGTTTGTAGATAAATTCATGCCGTGTACCGTTTACGAATGAGGAGCAAGGCTGATGGAATAGCTGATGGATGCCATAGCTGATACTTGTTATAAGAAGACTCTCAACACTTCAAAATGATTTGTGAATAACTTTAAAGAGTAAAACAATAAAAGCTATGCACTCTAAGTTGGCTAAAGTGCAAGAAAAAGATGATTTACCTCTGATTCATATCATCACTCCTAACCAGCCTAGAATTATAGCTAGAAGAGATGATCCAAACCCAGAGCACGCTCCAAAGCCCTTGTCACTTGGGAACGCAAGCAGAATGGGAGTTAGGAAGCGGAGTTTCCAGACATAAGAAAACAACCGAGAGAAGCATGCTGGCATCTGCTCAAAGTTACAGATTTTGCTCTCTACCTAATACAGGCAGCAACAATGCAAGAAACTTGGTGAGTAGCCAAGCTAGATGAGCTGCCATTTAATAGCAGTTACTTTTCAAAAGGTGGCAGGACAGAAAAGCGAGCCTGGTGCTAAGTAATCTCCCAAAGAGCAGCACTAGGTACATTCTTTAGTATCCCTGGGACCGTTTCCAACGAGAGCAGGCTACAGGCCAACGCTTTCATTAAAATGGGTGCATTTTAACAAGAGCAAAACATGAAGCCAATTTTTTCTTTTACCATGCCACAGTTTAGCCTGCCAAGCTGCGTTCGGGAAAGGACTAACACTAGACTGTAACATGTTGTTTGGCTAAACAAGGTACATAATGAAAAATGATTTCATTTAGGACTCCCTCGTTTCAGAAAGATGTAAAAACATTACTGCAAAACAGGATAAAGTGTTTTATAGTTAAACAGAATTGCATATTAAAAAAATGGAGAAAGTAGCTTGCTAAATCAATCCAGATTTAGCAAGGAGGAGCCCAGGTCTACGGTTCACCATAACCCTCATGGCAACAACCACCTGCAATGGTCGGCGAGGGGGCTGGCACAGGCCCTTCAGCACAGATCCACCCTCTCCTCAGCTACGGCACAGGCTGGTCCCACTTGTCCAGGGTGCTCCGGCCACAACACGTGTTGGTGAAGCTCCTTCCTCCCTCCTTCTCCGGTTCCATTTGCTGCCCACTGGAGCAGGGCATTGATCTGGCCCCTTCCACCTCTTGCTCATAAGTTCATTAGATCAGAACGTTTATTACAACAGAAAGCTCTACTTCATTCCCATTTTGTTTCTTCAACACTGCGATACAGCCACTTTACAGCAATTACGTCGCAGATCAACACAAAAGAATTTGCTTAGAGAAGATATTGGTTTTCTTTTTTAAGACAAAATTAGAAACCCTTCTGATGACCCTTCTGATCCAAGCATCACAAGCCCAGGAGAGTGCAGGCAGCCTTGTTAAAACGTTTGCTCTAGCGGAGCCGAGCGCCAGGGGAAAGACTTGCTTCCTGCTGTTACTTGCAGCCATTACCCACTCGCTCCCCCTCGCTTGTTACTTTTGACTGTCAATGTGCCTGCACGTGACCTCTAAATGTAAATGAAAGAGAACTAATTAAAATAATG